CATTCTCTATGTCGCAGTCGTGATCTAACACGGACGCATCCACGCACTGGTAGTGTTTGCAGACCTGAAACAAAGCACGCCCATGTGATTCATTTGCATGGGGGCTGCAAACGTTCAACTCTGGTTATCTGAGGCATCCCCTCCTCAATCTGGCCCTCTCCAAATGGGTTGGGATGGAGGGGACAGAGGGGCTTCAACTCCCAGAATTCCCCAGCCAGCCATGCTGGCTGGGGAATTCCGGGAGTTGAAGTCCACACATCTTGAAGTTGCCAAGGTTCAGAAACAATGCTCTAGAGGAAAAGAAGTCAACTCATCCTCTGGGCTTCTGAAGTGGCCCATGGGAGGGTACCTTGCTTAACCTACCTTTCCAGGTGCACACTTGGTCCCTTCATTCACCATCCCAGGATCTGGCACATCTGATCCTAGCTGGAAGTCAACTCCCCAACAAGTGTTGCCTTTGATATGGGTTTGGATAATGGCAGGCATGATCCCGAAGACCGGCAAGGTTTTCACGTTTTCACACTGCAGCTTTCCACACATGGCATTCCTGGTGAGACAATTTACATCACGGTGATGGTCTGCACCATGTTCAGAAAGTCAATATCCATTCTGTTTTGCTTGGGGTTTGGTTTTCTAATGATATTTAGGTAAAATCATATTTATGCTCCCAGGCCATCTTCCCTCAGCCTCGAACCTCATCAGAGAAAGCCAGAGAGCTAGCGTAAGGAGAGTGGATTTAGAGGCCAACTGAAAGGATCTGCCAATAAAATTAGGGAAATACACAGCTTCTGCCAACTGAATGAAAACAATCACAATTATTAATTTTAAAAATCCCACCAGTTTTTTAGCGGGTCAAAAGTCACGCCCCAGTGGCTCTATGTAAATGCGGTTTGCAACAGGGCGCTGAAAGGATAAAAAATTACATAAAAGCCTCCCTAAAATAGCAGGCATAAATCTGTCAGCAGCTTAAAGAGTATGAAATAGAACCATTCAACCCAAGCAGTTAAGATTTCAATGTCCCTTGAGAAAGAGCTTTGGGCTTGGTGACCCTTAATGGACTTTTGCTGACCAGGACTGATGAGGCTTTAAGGATTTGTTTATAAATAAGCGATGGGAAGAAGAGATCATTTGTTGTATTTTAAGAGGAGGTGATAAGTTACTAAAATTGTTTATACTTGTGTTGAAGGGAGGCAGTCATTTCTTTACATATATCTTTTCTTTTTCTTTACTACCTTATTTTTTCTTTCTTCTCTACAGGTAATCCTTGCTTAACAACCACATAGGACTGACAAATTTGTTGTTAAGCAGGGCAGTTGTTAAGTGAGTCACGCCCAATTTTACAGCCTTTTTAGCAGTGGTCATTAAGTGAACCATGCAGTTGTTAAGCGAATCATGTGGTTCCATATTGATTTTGCTTGCTGGAAGCCAGTTGGGAAGGTCACAAATGGCGATCACATGACCCTGGGACACTGCAACCATCGTTAAGTGTGAGCTGGTTGCCAAGGGCCCAGATCGCGATCACATGACTGTGGGGATGCTGCGACAGTTGTAAGTGCGAGGACTGGTTGTAAGCCCCTTTGTTCAGCACTGTTGTAACTTCGAACACTAATAAATGAATGGTTGTTAAGTAAGGACTGCCTATATTTTTCTTTCTATTTTTTTTCTGCACTTTCTATTTTTTTATTCTTTTCTATTTTTTGGTTTATATTCGTTTTTAATCTTTTTAATTGCAAAGTTTAATAAAACTACTTTAAAAAAAAAGAGAAAGGGCCAAGAAGGAAAAGATCTTGTCTCAACTTCCCATTGCCTCCCAGAATTCATGCCCCCAGAGAAATTTCCCAGCCTTCCTGGCAGCCAGCAGCGTCCCAGCAGAGGCTGGATATGTGCAGAAACCTTTCTCAAGGGCTGGCAGATGCCTGGGAGGAGGTAAGGAGCAAAGGGAAGCAACTCAGTTTTGCAGCTTTGCATGCCACTCCAAGAGATGCTTTGCTCAGATCCTTACTGAGGCTGGGCCCTCCCTGCCGTGATTTGCAAAATGCAGATCATCAGACCAAACAAGACTGCAAGACACAACAGCCCCAGGGTGGCCAAATGCCTGGAGGAAGAGATCAATCTTAATTTGGCACCCAGAACTGAAGGAATGACATCCACTGGAGGCATTTCTGCAACTGGAGAACTGCTTTGACTATAATGTCACCTCCTAGGTTTCCCTAAAACAAATTGCGCTCAGAGGTGGCACCCTCAATAGGCACCCCTGATTTACCTTAGTTCAGTGTTTCTCAACCTTGGCAACTTTAAGATGTGTGGACTTCAACTCCCAGAATTCCCCAGCCAGCATGGCT